ATAGGTTATGCTCTCCTAAGTTTTAGCGCCCCCGCCTGACACCCCCTCCTCCCGCAGCCGCCAAGGAGCTGGTGCTGATCCCGCTGCACGCGGCGCCGCACCACGCCGTGGCGGAGATCGACGCACTCTACGATGTGTACCTGGACGTGATCGACAAGTGGGGCACCGACGTAAGCCCCACCCCATCGGCCCCGGGGTCCCCGGAGGCGCACCCCGGGCGTGGGTCATCCGGGGCGGGGCTGGGTGGCCGCTCCGGCAGCGCTCAGACCCGGCTTCATGCGCCCTTCAGGACATGCTGTTCCTGGGCGACTTCAACGCCGACTGCAGCTACGTGCGGGAGCAGGACTGGGCCGCCATCCGCCTGCGCAGCAGCGAGGTCTTCAAGTGGCTCATCCCGGACAGTGCTGACACCACGGTGGGCAACTCGGACTGTGCCTACGACCGCATCGTGGTGTGTGGCGCCCGTCTACGCAGGAGCCTGAAACCCCAGTCGGCCGCTGTGCACGACTTCCAGCAGGAGTTCGGCCTGGACCAGACCCAGGCGAGTGTGGGGCGGTGCCGGTCCCTGGGGTCCCCAGCCCACTCTGGCACACGCGGGCGGGAGGGGCCAGCAAACTGCGGCCCAACCTCAGCTTCCTTGCAGTGGCTTACACCTGGCCCTCACCCTCCCACACCAGCGCTTACGGCCCAGCGTCCCTAGAGAGGCAGTCCCTGCAAGTGGACCCGTTCCCGGGAGGCAGGACGAGATGCCTATCCAGGCCTCTACCTCTCCTACACATGCCAGTCATGGGCCCAACCTGCACCCTGGCCCCTGCCTACCCACAGACAGCAGTCCTGGCCTAGGCCCCAGGGCCCCCTCCCGCAGATGCAGTGGCTTGTAGACACCCAGTGGGCCCCATCCCTGTGGGGGGGCAGTTTTCCAAGGTGGAGCCAGAGGGAGGACAAGTTGCCCAGCAGGATCCCTGAGGCCCCACCCCTCTCCCTGCAGGCTCTTGCCATCAGCGACCACTTTCCCGTGGAGGTGACCCTCAAGTCCCACTGACAGCCCTGAGGCCTGGCCAGGACATGATACCTGCAGACTGGTCCTGAGGAATGGCCCTACAGTGGCTCCTTCAGGGTGGCAGGCCATCCCTCAGTGAGGCTGCAGGGCTAGGTCAGCTGGGCATGGACAAGTAGCCATGGACACATTACTGGATCACTTGGAACCTCAGTTTCCTTCCCCGTAAGATGGGCTGACACCACCTATCTCATAGGGGTGTTGTGAGGAGTTCCCTCGAGGGGCAGTCAGCACAGGGCCCGGCACTGCCGTACTCAAATAAACGGGCTGCTGGCAGCCAGGCCCACACACACATCAGCTCCACGGCCTTTGTGTCCTTTCTTAGGACTCCGCCCTTCTAGGGCACAAGCCTTGGTCCTGTAGCCCAGTGAGTCCAGAGTCTCAGCTCCCTTAGGGGACAGGAATGGCCTGGCCTGCCCATCTCATGTCCTAGTGGGGATTGGACACCCCCAGACCATGCTGGCCCTGGAAAGCAGCTTGGGGAAACACCATCTTTGTGCAAACTGTAAGTGCTTCCAAGAACGTGTACTGTGAGTGCAGCTCGGACAGTCACAGTGCTGACACACCAGGCCAGCTTCCTGGGCCCCAGTGGATTTCAGAACAGATCTCCCATCCTGCAACCCCCATTCCTGAGTCTTGCAGGGACCCTCTGGCACTCGTCTGTATGAGAGGCCCAGTCTTACCCAAGCGCTGTCCAGGTGGCTCTCTTGGGATGTCTGGGGAGCCCCTCAGCAGTGGATGGGCTAGATTCCTCTCTCAGCCCAGGCAGATGGTTTGGGGCTAAGGTCCTGCCCAGAGAATTACATACCTTGCCATGGTACAGCCTTGAGATGGTGCCTGCCTGTGTCGCTTCCTCTTCAGGAGCCCTGGGCTGGGCAGGGATGAAGGAGGACAGGGTCTCTGTTCCCCAGGTGAACCCATCACTTTGGGATCACAAACAAACTGTCCTGTGGGTATGCCTGGTAACTGACAGAGGCCTGATGAGGTTTCCGGTTTTTGAAACACCTCATGTTTGGCAGGATTTGGGAACTAGCCTGAATTGTATAGGAGGATAAACCTTTGTTTCAAGGGTTTGGACAAATTCAGTTCTTGCAAAACCTTTCTAAAAGATTTAGGACCCTAATAGCATAGTAAGTCATGCTTCCATCATCTCTCTCCGAATCGCCACCATCCACTCCCTCCATCCAAATGAATAAGCTTGGTGGCCATAGGGCTTTTCTCCGGGGCTCCTGCATGGGTCGTCTGCCCAGAGATTTCCTGGTCTCATGCTGCCAGCAAGCAAGCAGCCCTGAGATGGGATGGGACCCAAGGACTTTATTCACGATTCTGCTTTGGCAAAGGAGGCCCTCAGTGGTGACCTCGCCAAGGTCCAGAATGGTCCCATCTGCCCCTCAACAAGTGCCTTTGCCTGACCACCAGTGGGTTGGGTGGGGCGGGGCCCTGGGACCAGGGTTACAGGGAATAGGATCTGCCACCTAAGATCAGCCAAACAATGAGCTGAAAGTACTTTTATTTTTTTTTTTTAAAAGATGACCGGTAAGGGGATCTTAACCCTCGACCTGGTGTTGTCAGCACCACGCTCAGCCAGTGAGCGAACCGGCCATCCCTATATGGGATCCGAACCCGTGGCCTTGGTGTTATCAGCACCGCACTCTACCGAGTGAGCCACAAGCCGGCCTGAAAGTACTTTTAAATTGAGAAATACCTTGTTTAAAACTCCCTTGGGACCAGAGGGCACCCAGAGGGCATACATGGCTAAAAACCTCCACAGCAGCCTAGCCTTTAGCTTTTCTTTTGTTTGAGATTTTTTAAGTACATCTGCAGGGACTTCTGGATGGAGTCTCTGGAGATAAAGCTGACGAAGTTCTGGATGTCTGCATCGCGCTGCTTGATGAGATGGTCCACCGTGGCCTTCCGCATCATGGTCTTGGTCAGCTGTCGAGCGTGGTCTAAAAAACATGGGGCCCACCTGTGAAACCCACATTCAGAGATATTGGGATCATTCCCTGCTTTTCTATGAGGGTCACACAGAAACGCTGGTAGAGAACTTAGAAAACACAGATAAGCAAAGAGACGAAAATGAAAATCACCGGTCACCACTGCCCACCAATTTCTTTTAAAAACATATAGGATACTGCAAAAATTGTTTTTTATTATCGAGAATATTTTCCGTGTCACTAAATATTGTTTTATAGCATAACTAATGGCTGCTACGTATTCAGTCACTTGTCTGTATCAGGTTGGCAAACCTGGCTCTCCAGGGCCCTTAATCTAGGAGTGGTTGTTACGTTTTTAAATAGTTAAAAAAAAAAAAATCAAAAGAAGGATAATCTTTTGTGACATGTGAAAATTATGTGAAACTCAAATTTCAGAGTCCCTAAGGTTTTAGTGGAACACAGGCATGCTCATTAGTTTACATGTTTATTCTCTATGGCACTTTCGTGCTATGGTGGCACAGCTGTTGACCTACAAAGCTGACAACCTATCTGGCTCTTTATCTCTTTACAGACAAAGTTGCAGCTCCCTGATCTATTTCATCATTGATAGAACCAGCCCTATTTCTATAAACACACAAGCTGGTTTCCAATTGTCTTTGTAGTGGGTTGAATACTGGACCCCAAAAAGATACGTCCAACTCGTGACCAGCCCTCTAGAAACTGAATGTGACTTTATTTGGAAAAAGAATTTCTGGGGCCGGCCCGGTGGCGCACTGCTACAGTGTGCTGCTTGGGAGTGCGGTGGCGCTCCCGCCAAGAGTTCGGATCCCACATACTGACCAGTTCCTGCTCACTGGCTGAGCGAGGTGCGGGTGCGACACGGAGGGTTGTGATCCCGTTGCCGGTCCCGGTCTGGTACGGGCATGACACTGAGGGTTGCGATCCATTGCCGGACACGAAAAAAGACAAAAAAAAAGGAAAAAAAAAAAAAAAAAAAAGAATTTCTGCATCTGTAATTAGGTTAAGATGAGATCACCTTGGATTTAGTGTAGGCCCTGAATCCAATGGAAGGTGTACTTGGGCGGTAGAGGGAGTTTGCGACACAGACACACAGGAGAGGAGGCACAGAAGGATGGAGGCAGAAATTGGAGCCATGTGGCCACAAGCCAAGGAACACCTGGAGCCACCAGAGGCAAGGAAGGGTCTTCCCCTAGAGCCTCTGGAGAGTTGGCCCTGCCAACACCTCGATCTTGGACCTATGGTCTCTAGAACTGTGAGAATAAACTTCTGTGGTCTCAGCCACCCAGTCTGTGGCACTTGTTACGGCAGCCTCAGGACACTAATACAGCCTGCTACTGTGAACAGTCTTGTGCACACACACGACTTTCAGAGAATGTTTCCGTGTGAGAACTTTTTGGTCTCACCAGGATCATCTGGTTGGGGGTTGGGGGGATGCTTCTCTCTGGCACCAGTACCCACAGCTCTCTCCTCTGGCTACTCACCCGGAATAGCCATCCACTGGGCCATCACTGAGAGTGCCGTGCTCTGCACCTGGTCCTCAGGCACCACCTGGTCCACCATGCCCACCTGGAGGGCCTCTGCTGGTGAGAAGAGCAGCCCCAGCTGCAGGGCACGTTCTGTGGCTCGATGCCCAATGGTGTTCACCAGGGTGTCTTTGAACCTGGAACACAGACACCCACTCACCTTGGGGCTCTAGGGCTCCCGGGTGTGTCTGTTCAGCCCAGGGACAAGTGCTGAGTGTGGGTGCTGCCACTGGCCTTACCAGAAGGGGGCGACGATGCCCAGCAGGGTCTCGTTCAGTCCTATGACATGCTTGGGGTTGTCAGCCAGGACCCGGTAGTCGCAGGAGAGGGACATCAAGCAGCCTGCAGCAGGGGAGGCTCCCTGCAGAGAGAAGCATGACTGTCTGGGCTCTGGAGGTGCTGCTGCTGGTCCCAATCGCATTGCAGAGGGCCACGGTCCGAGGACACCCAAGGAAGGGCCTGCAGGTGGGCATGAGCTCTCGGGTACGCTCAGCCCCCAGGGTGCTGCACCCATGCTATGTGGCTGGGTGTGCACAATAGGGAAAAGGACAGGGAAGGAACAGGCTCCCCCACAGCTCAGCAGCGGGGACTTGGGGGGATCAGGCTTGCCCACTGGCCAGGGGCCCCTGTGACAGGACTGTCAGCTCTTGGGGGCCAGAAAAATCACTCTTTCCTTAACCCTCTGGTTGGGGTGGCAAGATGCTTTTCCTTTTATAGCTTTTGTCTGATGCTAAAACACCAAACAGCATTTAGCTGGAGCTGTCGTTTCATGTTACCACCTCAGCAGCCAACCCACCAGGATGTCTGAGGAACCCCAAACTCACACTGTGTCCTCACTCCATGCACCCCACCACCCCAGAGATGGCAGGTCGAGTCTCCTTTATTCCAGGTCCCCATGTCCTGTCTGTTGCCACCGAACCCCAAGGCTTCCAGCTCTCTCTCACACCATCCCTCCCCTCCAACCGGCCTAACCTTGGTTGTCACACCCACCCCCTCGGAGCACACTGGTTCCTGAGGCTGAGCCCTCCTCCCTTGCCTTCCCCAGTTCCAGCCAGAGTGATATTTCCAAAATGTGTATCTGATCACCCACTCACCCCCTGGCACAGCCCCTTGTGGGGCTGGTGCCGACCACGGGCCCTAGTCCCCCCAACTGGCTCTCTTCTTTGCCTGTTGGTCTGGCATAGGCCGTTACCCACCCCCCAACAGTCACACTTGGCTATAATGGCTCACTTACCTGGGCGCATCTGGTCTTGGGGTTCCCCAACTGCCACCTCCCCTGAGAGGTTCCGAGGGCTGAACCGGTGTCTGAACCCACCCCCTGCAGCTGCCCCCACAGGCCAGTGAGGCCCCTTGGGAGTGGGGACACTCACGTTGATGGCAGCAACCAGCACCAGGTTGGAAAGGTAGAGCTGCAGCCACAGCTCCTGCACAGCCTTCCAGTACTCAGCATAGTGCGCCAGGTTCCTGCCACACATCTCCATCAGGTCCAGGCCAGCCGAGAAGACGCCAGGGCAGTCCTGGGGGAGCGGCTGGGGTCATGCTCAAGGCAGCAGCATGCTGTCGCCCAGGGGCCCAGAACTGGCAGCTCCAGGGACTCAGCTTACCCTTCCCCCAGACCCAGTTTTTCTCTAGTTCCCAGAACGTTCTTCCTTTTCCAGATTCAAACTGGAAAAGACATACGTGCAGGGTCAGAGCAGGGGCCCTATGCCTGCTGGAGGGAAGCAGGCACAGATGAGCCCCAGTCACGTCCCCCAGGCCTCTGAGGATGGCCTCGTCCTCCTCTCCTCGGCTACCGCACGTCCTCCTCCCTCCTGGGCCTGAAAGACGCCACTCACTGCCCCTCCCTGACCTTGGTAATAACACCTTTCCCATGGATGCCAGCACATGGGGGTAACACTGAGGTTCCCCTCAAGAACTCACATGGAAGAGTTGGCCCTCTGAGCACTTGGCCTTAAGACTGGGTCAAAGAAGAATGGAGAGCATGGCTTTTGGGACCAGCATCATTAATGAGACCAGCTGGGGGCACCCAGGGCCCCAGGAACACACCACCAAGTTTGCACAGGGTCTGCCTTTTATGAATGAGCGTGGGCTCAAGGTCACGCATGCAAAAAGTTCACTCTCCCTCACTTGATTCTGGCCTAGGTTGCTGAGCACCACGGCTCTCTCCAGGGTTCACTCTGACATCTGCACTGCCTGGGCCGGAGACTGGTCTGCTCAAGGCATGCTGCTGGCAAAATCAAGGCACCCGGCAGGCCACATCAGCCTATGCTCCCTGGAAGCCCCTCATGGTGGCACCCAGCATGGCAGGTGCTGCCTGGTTATTCCAGGCCATGAGACGGATGCACCAACTTTTCTCAGTGAGGTAACAGTTGACACTTTGATCAGAGACTCGGGCCTGGGGGAGCTAAGTTAGCACCCACCGAAGTCAGCACGACGCCCCGGAAGGTCTTGTCATTCTGCAGCTTCTCCAGGCTGATGATGAGCTCTGTGAGAAACTCCAAGCTGAGGCTGTTCACTGGGGGGTTCTTGAATTTCATCACAGCCACCCCTAATTTAAAGAACGGGGAAGATGAGGCTCACACCTAGCACTGGAAAAGCACCCAACCAGCCTGTGTGGAGGATATTGACCTTAATAGATAGAAATAAAGCACATGTATTTCACAGGTCTTTAGCTTAGCAGAACCACAGTCCTTAGTTTTTATCAGGGCCAAAGCCCTGTAGTTTAAGGAATAGCCCAACTTTTTAGAAATACACATAGAAATACTAAGATTGGGAAAAACCAGAAAACTTTCACAGGACTGAATTCCTTGTTACAGGTCAAAAAAAAAAAAAAAAATTGAAACCCAGCAAAAGTGACTGCTATGGGGGCAGTTGCCCTTGATGCAGCTAAACCTAAATGATGGGAAAGTATGTGAGCTACAAGCTTCAAGGTTACTCTGCTAGTTCCACATCTTGCCTTTAGCTGTTTCTTTGAGTTTCTTAGGGTTGCCATAGTGATTATCTCATTGTTTCTTTTGTATGTCACATAGCTTAGTTTTATGACTCTTTTTGATAGTAAATTGCTTGAACTATTTTTTTTTTTCTTCAAAAGATGACCGGTAAGGGGATCTTAAACCTTGACTTGGTGTTGTCAGCACCACACTCTCCCAAGTGAGCCATGGGCCTGCGCTTGCTTGAGCTATTTTTAAGTTACACCTGCTTTAATGAAAATTATCATGTAGACAGTTTGTTTATGTTTTCACCATGACTGATTAACCACCTGCGTTTTTTCTGTAACTTTCTTGCCTGTGCAATAAAAATGAAGAGAAAACCTGACTTGGGGTTACTCCTGGGATCCTTCTCTCTTGAAGGAATTTCCCCTGGGTTTAACCCCTTCAGGCCTCTGATTGCTCTGGAGAAATGGGCTTTGAGTAATCCTTTGCATCTCTGTCACCCTGGGAGAGGTGACAAGTCTGCACCCACAACTTGGCCATGGGTAGCTGCATGGTTTTGGTGGTGTTTTTTTTTTTTTTTTTTTTTAAATTTTATTTATTTATTTTTTAAAAGATGACCGGTAAGGGGATCTTAACCCTTGACTTGGTGTTGTCAGCACCACGCTCACCCAGTGAGCCATGGGCTGGCCTTTTTTTAAAAAAATTGTTTTGTTTTCTTTTATTCTGGGGCTTTTAAAAATTGAAGTAGGGCTGACCAGTTAGATCAGTTGGTTAGAGAGCAGACTTACAACACCAAGGTCATGGGTTCGAATCCCTGTACTGGCCAGCAGCAAAAAAAAAAAAAAAAATTTTTAAGTGAAATTCACATAACATCAATTAACCATTTTAATGCAATTTTTGTTGTTGTTGTTGGCTGACCTGTAGAGGGATATGAACCCTGTACCTTGGGGTAAATTAACCGTTTTAAAGTGAACAATTCACGTCCATTCAGTATATTTACAATGTTGTGCAACTATCACCACTGTCTAGTTCCAGAACATTTTCATGGCCCCAAAGGGAAACTCCATACTCATTAGCAGTCAGTCCACATGCCCCTTCCCCAGCCCCTGACAACCACTAATTCACTTTGTTTCTATGGATCTACCTATTCCGGGCAGTTCATATAAATGGAATCATATGAGGGATCTTCAAACAGGAAATATTTGTATTATCTCTGAATTCTGTTTTTCCACGATCTTTCTGAAGTACTGTTGTATAATGTGTGGTCTTCATGTCTGGCTTCACTTGGCAAGGTTCACACACATTACAGGATGTGTCAGAACTTCATTATTTTTTAAGGTTGAATAAAACTCCACTATATGGATAGACCGCATTTTGTTTATTCATCCACTAATGGACACTTGGGTTGTCCCACGTTTTGGCTGTGTGAACAATATTGTCATGAACATGTGTACAAGTTTGATTTTTTAAAGAAAACACCTGTTTTCAATTCTCTTGGGCAAATACCTAGGAGTGAAAATGCTGGGTCACGTGGTAACTTCTTGAGGGCCCACCAGACTACACCGTTGTTGGTTTAAATAATCTTTTCATAGCAGGAGGGCGTGAGACTCACTGTAGAGCTCCAGCGTGCCCTCCTGCTCTTTCAGTTTGCTGCGCTGGTTTCCCACTGTATCGACAAGCCTCAAGTCACCTGGACACTGTCACCAGACCCCCTCAAGGACAAAGATTCTGAGAGCTGCCTCTGCTCCTTGAGTCTTGGGACAGAGAGAGACATGCCCTAGAGACCTGTGTCTTTTTTAGAAGAGAAAGCAGCCAGATTCCCGTCGGCAGATGCAGCCTGTTCATGTTTGCAGACACGTGATCTCTGAACCCAGTGCAGTGAGTGGAGAGCGCCAGTACACTCTGATCTGCTGCACGGGGGTGGGGGGCGGGGCAGCCTCCAGCTGAGCGAGGGACCAGCAGGTTTTCTCTCTCTGCCCAGAGCACGGAGGTGTGTACAGCTCACTACGTTTTTGTTGAGATGGGGAGCATTACAAATGAACTCAGATCAGAAAGGGATAGATTATTTTCCCAGTGTATCCTGATCGAGGTAGCTCTCCCCCAGACACGTCAAGGACTACAGTATAAAGTGGAGAGATAATCAATGTTGAGATGACAAGGCCACTGAGGACAAAAGAACAGCAAAAAACCCAGAAAGGCTGCAGGCTGCTCCCAGGGACTGGGGAAAATTAGGAAGAAAAACGAAGAGCAGGATCCACTGGATGATCTCCCCTCAGCCTTACCCCACCAGCCTCACTCCTGTTGTGGGTTGAATTGGGTCACCCCAAAAAGCCATGCTGAAGTTCTATCCCCTGGTACCTGTGCATGTGACCTTATTTGGAAATAGTGTCTTTGCAGATGTCATTAAGATGTGAGTTAGGGGCTGGCCCCATGGCTCACTTGGGAGTGTGCAGCACTGGGAGTGCAGCGGCACTGGGAGTGCAGCGGCGCTCGGAGCGACGAGGCTGCGCGTTTGGATCCTATATACGGATGGCCGGTGCGCTCACTGGCTGAGCACAGTGCGGGCGACACCAAGCCAAGGATTGTGATCCCCTTACCGGTCACAAAAAAGAAAAAAAAAACAAAAACAAAAAAAAAAACTGTGAGTCAGGATGAGGTCACACTATTGTAGGGTAGGCCCTTAATTCAATATGACTGGTGACCTGATAAGATGACAGAGATGCTAGAAGGCCAGGGGAAGCCAGAGGCAGAGGTTAGGACAACGCGTCTGTAAGTCAAGGAACACCAATGACTGCTGGCAGCCCCAGAGGCTGGAAAGTTGGGGAAGGAGCCCCCTAGAGCCTTCAGAGGGAGCGTGGCCCTGCTGACACCTTGGTTTTGGACTTTTGGCCTCCAGAGCTGAGGATACATTTCTATTGTTTAAGCCCATTTGTGGCACTTTGCAACAGCAGCCCGAGGACACTAATGCAGTCACGGCCTTCTTCAGCCCCTTCTTCACCTCCTAGCAGGAGCCAGCAGCCCTGCAGGTTTGGTCCAGTGACATCTCTGAGGACGTGGCCTGCACCTGCACTGGGACGTGCTGGCTCTTCAGGCCAGCCCGCCTGCTGATGGTTGGGTGTGGCCCCTCCAGACACCCCCTGACCTAGGGGCAGCCCCATCTTCATTCGGACGTGGTTCTTTGACCGGGATTTGATTTCAGTTAGAAGCAAAGTTTTCCCTCAAAATTAAAATCTATCCTGTAACCCAATGCAACGCTGTCTGGCTGTGTCACAGGCCCTCTGGGCAAAGACTGAGCCCCTCTTCACCCTCTGACCCAAGCCTCAAGGACGCCTGAGGTGGGTCGGAGGTTGCTTGCTGCTGATGGGGCAGTGGGCTGGACCTCATAAGCACAGCTAGCTGATCGTCACAGCTGTCTGTCACTCTCCCAGTCCCTCACCACCACTCTCACGCCTGCTTCACACTGTACTTTGTCAGGATGTTCAATTCCTCCCCGTCCCTTTTTTGCAGTAGCAAGAACCGTGTCCCTGTGCAGGCAGGTGATGGCCTCAATATCTTGAGTGAGTGAGAAAAGTCTAAGAAACAAATGTGCAAGGAGAAACTCCAGTGGGGGGCTCTGGCTCATGCTGTTTAAGGACAGAACATCGGGGGTCAGTGTTCTTAAACTCTCCTTGGTCCACCCGTTCACCTGCCAGCAGCAGAGAAAACAGGAGGGACAAGAGCCTTGCCCTCGTGACACTGTGGTTGCAGGCCTGCTGGCTCAGGCCATCTGTTCTTGCATCCTGCCCAAGTGCAGACCCCCAGGGCTTCAGAAACTTCACCATTCATTTAGGAGCATTTCCCTGGTGAGTACCTCAGAAGTCTCTGGATTGTCAACACAAACCGTTCTTTGAGAATGAGAACTATGTCTTGACAGCAAATGGGCTCTTTTGGGAACTTTGCTTTTTAAGGTAGAGGTAGCCATTACCTGGCTACAGACATGTACAAGGCATACATATAAGAAACAAGCAATCAAAACTTCTAGAGATGAGCTCCCCAAACTTGGTGCGGAGGGAAGTTTTTGAAATCTGATCCTGAAGTTTGGCAGAATCAAGGATACTGGGGGAAAGGTAAAGAGGCCAAAGGTGAACAGGAGTTACTAAGGCTAATCTGGATGAATTTTGGCTATCACAAGGTAATTCCTGGCACAGGGCGGCAACCGGACACATGCTTCCTGAACAAAATGTTGGAGTCTAAAATCAGCTTCAATGCAGCACTTAAACAAAAACGTTTTCAGAGCACATTTGCTCCATTACTTTATCCAAGCCTTGTGCTGCCCTGAGTATAAACAGATCTCAGTATTTTCCATTTCACAACACCTGGCTTTTCAATGATACAAGTAGTGGAAACAGAAAAAACCGGCTTTCTGATCCCAGACCCTACTTTCTACCACACTGTGCTTTTTACTGTATTCAAAGGGTCTTCAAAAAGTTAATGGAAAGACTTGTTTTTTCTTCCAATTCTATTTTTCCATGAACTTTCTGAAGTGCCTTTGTGTGTGTGTGTATAAATTCTGGTAAAATATACATAACAAAATTTACCATTCTAGCCATTTTTAAGTTACAATCCAGGGGCATTAAGTACATTCACAATGTGCAGTCACCACTACTCAGCCCAATAATTTAAAATGTTTTTGCACTTTCTGAGATATATTCAAATCTGTCACAGAAATGACCCTTTCATTTTTTTTTTTTTTTTTTTTTTTTTTTTTTTTTTTTTTTTTTTCCGTGTCCGGCAACGGATCGCAACCCTCAGTGTTGCCCCCGTACCGGACCAGGGACCGGCAACGGGATCGCAAGCCTTGGCGTTGCTCCCGCGCCTCGCTCAGCCAGTGAGCGGGAACCGGTCTGTATATGGGATCCGAACCCTCGGACGGGAGCGCCGCTGCGCTTCCTAAGCGGTGCACTATCCAGTGCGCCACCGGGCCGGCCCAGAAATGACCCTTTCAAAAACCTGTATTTTGGGGCTGGCCCGTGGCTCACTCAGGAGAGTGTGGTGCTGATAACACCAAGGCCCCGGGTTCGGATCCCATATAGGGATGGCCGGTTGGCTCGCTGGCTGAGCGTGGTGCTGATAACACCGAGTCAAGGGTTAAGATCCCCTTACCAGTCATCTTTTAAAAAACAAACAAACAAACAAAAAAACTTGTATTTTTGTCAGACCCATAGTTGGGCCTAAACCCAAAGCTCCTCATCACCTCACACAGGTAGCCCCCAACCAGAGAAGGCTGAACCAGGTTTGAAGGCGCAGGGAGGCTGGTGCCCCGGTGCTGTCCCAGCCTTGCAGTTTGTGTGTGTGTGTGTGTGGGGGGGGGGGAGTGTAGAGGAGGGCTGGGGCGGCAAGTCTGTCTGGAGAGGAGGAGGGCTTTCTCCAGGACCCGCAGCAGGGCCCCCAGCTTGAAAGGCTGAGGCCTAGAGCTGGCAGACAGGGGACAGCATGTGCCAAATGCGAACTTTGCCAGTCTCCGACCCCAAGCCTTCTGGGGATCCAGCTCTGACCTCCTCTCTGGAGGGAAAGCACGGGTTTTTCTTTCAGAAATGCTTTTCCTATTCGCTCTGGAGAGTTTTACACGGTGTTCCGATGGGGATGGGTTGAAAGGTGGGGGTTAGGAGTGATTCCCATGTGCTCATGGCTTTAATGAGCAAAATACTTGCTGGATTCTATGCTACCTGGGAGTCTTAAAAATTAAAATATCTTATTCCCAAATACTTCCAATTATATTCAATTTCCAACTGAATAGTTTGGATAACGACGTCTGCCAAACTTTAAAAACAGGAACGTTTTTATCTTCATCATAAACAAAACCCTTTTAAGCCAACCGGTGTAATGACCCTTCGGTTCTGAACAGAAACTGAGTTTAAAACAGGGTTCACACGCTGCTTTTGGAGATTCCACAGCGTTCTCAGGAGTCCGGGCTTCCAGGCTCTGCGCTGGGGAGTCACGATGTCAATTACCATCGTGCGCGGCCCGGGGACCCCAGGGACCCCACTTCACCTGCAGGGCTGCCGCCCGCCCCCGCGCGCCCCCTGCGCCCCGCGTACCTGCGGCCGGGGCCGGCTCCACCAGCACCCGCTGGCTC